GGCATTTTCCCCACATCTTACGTGGAGGTGAATTCTTTTTCCCCGTACTGTTGTTTTGTGCTGGTTATCTAAGACCCTGTGGCTCTAAAACGGTTTCCTCTGTCCTTCATAGATTCTGCCTCCTACAGAGAAGCCGACTCCTATAAAGAATCCCACTTTACAGGTGTTGGACTACGGAGAAGCTGTGGCTCTGTTTAACTTCAACGCTGACCTACCTGTTGAACTTTCTTTTCGCAAGGTGAGTATCACAGTGGACCTTGTGGCAGAGAGGAAGATACATTCCCTCCACATTGAAACCATTTGTTGTACATGTCAGTTTCTGGATAAATATCTTAGCATTCATTCAGAGTTAGATAAGTAAATTGATAGTACTCCTGTGTCTGTACGCTAAATAGGAAGCCACCAGCAGTTGATTAGCTTAGCTTAGCATGGAAACAGCTAGCCTGACTGTACAAAGTCCATGAAATATGAGTGACGACGTCCTGTTTTCCACCACTGCCAATTCAGACAGCCAAATTGAAAAGATTCCTAGTGCAGCTTTAAAAACATCGTTTACATTTTTTAAGGCCTGCATGATAAAATAATGATGATTTACTGACTACTGTGTAGCCAATATGTTAAAAAAACTTAAGTATTTAATTGGATTTTTTTTCTCTGTTTAAAATCTTAATAATATATCTTTATAATAATAATTAATATCTTAATAAAAACTTTCCACTATTTTTTCGTCCTCAGGGTGAAGTGATCGACATTACCAGGCGTGTTGATGATCAATGGTTAGAGGGGAGGATCTCAGGGACCAGTAGGAGCGGCATCTTCCCAGCCAGTTATGTCCAGGTCAACAAGATGCCCCGCACTAAATACTCCACGGATGACTACTCACCTGGCCCCATGTCTCCCGTCACCCCTGGACCTCAGAGTCCAGGACGTCCACTCCACTCACCCTGCCCACAGTCACCATTGTCCCCTTTCACCCCCACTTCCCTCAGCCCCAAACCCGAGCACTCCCCCCTGAAGCCGTCTTCACCTCTACCTTATGGCAGCCCCGCTTCACAGTCACGCTCCCCCACCCAGACACCCGCCAATCGGTGGCCCCATAGCACCTCCAAATGTGCTTCACCCACCAACCAGAACAGCCACTGGACTGGGACACACTCACCTAACCAGAGCTCTGTGGCTAGAGCTGTTTCACCTTCCACTCAGTCACCAGCGTCTGTACACAGAACAGGAGCTACCACAGCGAACACTCCCAGATACATTGACCCCTCACAGGTCTGCCATCACTGCATGCCCGAGAAAGTCACTGCATGTCCACATGGTCTTACTGTTTGTGTTGGTAGGCATGTTATGCATCATTTCTTTGTTCATAATGCCTGACATGAGGTTTATATTTCTTCCAGGGTGCAATACCAAACCAAACGGCTCCATCTAATCCACATTTTAGCTATCTGCCGCAAGTGCCAAACAAACCTGGTTCAACAGCAGCACAACGCCAACCGTACGTCTCCAGATTTGTATTTGTTCACATCGTTGCAGTACAGACCAAGTGTTGCACCTTTGATGAATTTGAGTCTTAGACCATTTGTTTGTTTGTTTGTTTTTTTTAATATTTTAGATACAAAGCTGTTTACAACTACAAACCACAGAATTCAGATGAGTTGGAGCTCAGAGAAGGAGACATTGTGCAAGTGATGGAGAAATGTGATGATGGCTGGTTTGTAGGTAAGGACTAAGTTATGACCTCATTTTTCAGCTTCAACAGTTTAGGAAAGCTGCACATAATGTAAAGATGGGTGACAAATTAAAGAAAAAAAACATAATTTGTTTTGAGTTATGGGCCACCATGAGTGTTTTTCTGATGGTGTTGAAGGGCACAAATAAACACGTTGCTCCAAAATCTCTGAAATCTCTCCAAAATGTCTGTATTAGGATTAGGTCACTCTGACCTTTCTGATTGTACAATAATGGGATATCATTTAGGGTCAGAAAATTTGTTGTTTTTTGTAATAGGAATAATAATTTTTTTAAAAATAGGTAAAGTACATGTCATGTACATTTTTGAGGCAACTATTTTATTTCACTGTGACCACTATCAAAACATTCTGCAGTGTCTGTCCCCCCTCTAGTGGACATTATGAAACATTGCAGGTGTAATTGGCACAGTGAACTTAAACTTGGTTGAGATTTTATAGGCTAATGTATGAATTAATTTATTGTTTTGATGTTTCACCACAGCGTGTGCTCTGTTCTCTGTAGGTACGTCAGAACGGACTCGTGCTTTTGGGACCTTTCCTGGGAATTATGTGGCACCAGTTTGATCTCCTCACTTCCTGCTTGCCCACATCCACCTGGACTCATAAGAGCCCAACTAATATCTTAAACTCACTCCAACAGGTCCTGCTTTGACACCTCAGCATTTTTTCATCCCATTTACCCACCACACTCCTACATCTGATTTAGTCAGACCTGCATATTCTCCCTGTTTCCCAGAACAGGGGTGAAGGCAGGGACACTATTGAGTGGTTTCTCACCTCACCTCCCTGCATGACTGCATGTGTGTGTGTTCCACTGAGACTTGGGGAGTGTTTTCACACACATCACTTTAGAGGAAAGAATGAATGCTGATGATACTGTTTCAGATGCAAAGAATGGACTTTTTTGTTCCACAACTATTTCCAGCTGTAGGAAATTTGCATTCCTTCCCACTGAACAGCGCTGTTCCTTCTGAGCTCCTGATACAAGTATGATGCTGCATTCAGATTTTTGTCACCACAGTGCCATCACAAACCACTGCTGAGAAGTTTGAAGTAGGGTGGCACATTTTTTCCTGGCATTTCAGTGGATTAATGTTTCCTTCAAATATCTTCCTCAGATTTTCTTTCAGATCTCTGAAAATACCCAGGGCAAGTTTGAGGAAACGACACGGACATCTGTAGATGTGTGCTAAAAGTAAAGCGCAGTAAGGGCTCGGACATGTCAAGATAAGTTTTCAGCCCTTCAAAGGGCTATGCAGAAGAGCGGATATAATTAATGCATGTACTGGTTTCTTAAGCAAGTTATAGAGAATGTTTGCCTTTTTAAATGATGTTTGTCCCACTTTACTCACGGAGTGGAAAGCCAAAGGTGGAAGTAATGAGAGAGATCGGGTTCTGTGCTGTAATAGAAGTTACTTTATGAAATAAAATTTCGAATCTCTGTAAGTTATACAAGATCAGCTGGGTTGAAGTTAAATCTAGACACTGCCTCTACAGAAAATAGTTGAATGATCGTTTGAAGTATTTGATGTGCCAAATCTAACTTTTCATGATGTTTCTCTATTAAATTCTCCAATCCCAGCTCACTTTTATTTCTGCTACATTAGCTACTACTGCTTTTATAATGTTTTCTCTGTTTACAGAGTTACCATTCTCACTCACATTCTCACCAGAACCACTAACTGAATGTTTGTACCAGTGCAACCTTTGACAAGTGTCCAATTAAAAATCCTTCCTCCATTTTGCAATTTCATAAGATATATTCATGATTTCATTTTCATTTCATTTTGTAAAAATGAATCATATTTAGTAGACACAGGAGATGTTTGTACAGACTGTAACCTATCAAATTGAAAGTATAATATATATTTGCTTATAAAACAATGTATCTCATATGTATGGTACGCATTTTTTAAAGCAATTAAACATTACAGAGTGATACTAAAAGTAAGTTGTTTTCGTTTGTTAAATGCTTTTAAAACATGTTTATTCAACAAACACTTTAAGGCAAGCATGGAGCTGAATAGCAAGGAATATATCCATCATAGTTTCTGCATACAGACATTTGTACTGAACCTTGCAAATGTTCACCTAACCCACAACATAAAAATATATACATTCACACAATATATTATAAACAAAAAACTTTCTGACTGTACTTTTTTCTTATAAAATCCCCTCCATTAACTCTATTCTGACCTTAAGAGCAACATTTACGGTACAGTTTTGATCACACTTACCCTGAATCGTTAGTCTGACAGTGTTTCCCTTTACATAAAACTGAATGCACTTAGTGGCCACTTTAGCAGGTACACATGAACAATCTCAATCTGATACAACAGCCCTACCATAAAATCTATCTTTACATTGCTCATAATGTTCAGATTTCGAATATCAATTATGTTTAACGGTGGTGGTAAAATGTGGTATTGTACTGAATTTTATATTATATGGAAAGGTGTTTCTATTTTTTGTTCTTCCCATTTACACACAAGAGGGGGCAGAATATTAGAAACACATCTGAACATAATGCTGTCCAGTACTGATACATACACCCCCCAAAATACAAATGTGTAGCAGAAACACACAAAGAGGTGCACAACCTAGGCTAGAATTTTACATTATAGTGCACTAGAAAATGAAATGAAATGTTCATAAAATGAGAGCAATTGAGATTCAGAAAAGATTTAGTAAATGTCCATTGTTGTGAATGTTTTGATTTTAAGTGATTACTTGACTCTGGCCACATGACATAAAACGTAGACAGGAATTTGGGATTACTGGGATTAGGCAAATATAAAATAGGAAACAGCTTCATTATTGATACACATTTAATAAATAACCAAAGGACACATAAGATTAAAATAAATAATTATTGACAAATGAAACCACAATTGTTTCATTTCTCTTCTGTGATTCAGTACAATCACCTGCTTTATTCATAAACCACATGTCTAGAACCATCTAATCAGCGACCTATCTACACCTGTGATAAACGTCAATGAACAAGCTGACAGGTGAACAACGTCACCAATTAATTGATGTGGCTCTGGTTGGAGCGCGCTGCTCTGCCCTGTGCCGTCAGCAGGTGGCGCGCGGACTCAAAAAGCAGCCCCAGATTGTATATTGGATAAATGGCTCAATTATCCCTGCTGCACCCTCCACTCCTACCTCCTCTCTGAAGCGACACGCCCCGGTGCTGCCTGTGTCAGAGCTTTTATTTTGGTAATAGCACATGGCATCGCGAGCTCATCCCTCCTACTAGTCCCAGTGATACCAGTGCGCGCGCAGCCACAGGTTGTGCTCATACGTGCCGGAGACAAGGGACTATCATCGCTTCACCTCCGCTCCGGTGCTGCTGCATTGACGGAGGGAACTCATAAATCTGCTTTCTGCCTTGTTTTGTTCGCATTTTGGACGCAGGGTTGTTAGGCTGAGGGGAATTAGGACCTTCTGTCTCCTGAGCGTGTGTTCGGCGTTGTGTCGAGGAGCGCGCAGAGATTTAACAGGTGGAGAAGATACCCTAAATCACACTGCACTTACCTTGGTATGTAAACATAGCATTATTAAATGTCTCTCAACGTCCATAAAGCATCTTAGCTAATTAAAGATGGTGGGTTACATGTTTATTTGTTGGGGTTGCTGAGTGAGAGCACAGGCTCGTGTTAAGTAGGTAAGCAGGAGGTGTGCTTTATCATTGGCTTGTAGTTATTAAACCTGACCCATATCTGTTCCTGTGGGAACCTCAGAGAATGCAGTGAAGCCTTGGTAAATTATGATTGATGTGCACTGTTAAAGTGTGCAGTACCTACATGTGGGCTGTTTTGTCTAATGATGCACGAGATAAGGGGAAACAGAAAGTCAGTCTGACTAGACAAACTCCAAACTGTCATTGCATCTGTATTCGGGCAGCGTCTTTTTTCACATTTCAGTCAGGGTGATTTGTGGAGGGGCTGGACCAGGTGTAACCTCAGGTCAGTACTTAAGTCACTTTTAGTACAACTGGTGATGCTGTTATCTTCTTTCTTCCTCTTAAATTGGCCAGTTGAGAGTGATGACTGTGAATTAGCAGGTCCACTGTAGTTCAAGTTCTGAAATTCACTCGTTCTCTCCCCCTTAAACTGTCTAGACGTGGCTGTTCATCCAGTTCACTTAATCTAATTTTCAGATATAAATAGATCTGGCTTGTGGGCTCAGCAGGTGGGCAAGTACTTTAAGGTGTGTGTGTGTATATGTGTGTGTGTGTATATGTGTGTATATATATATATATATAACCTCATTCCAGGAAACCCCACTGTGTACTGTTTGTGTACCTTCCCCATTGTGATCGTGCCTTTCATGTGAGTGCTCTACCTAACCCTCCTTTCACTTTATATTGTGTTTCCTGATGGCTTTGCTTTTTTTTTTTGTTTAGTGAACACTGTGCTGTTACTGGATAGGTTAAGGCTAAAGCCATCAAGGAACCATAAACTAACCACTGTAATTTTGGATGGAGCAAATGCAGTGGCTTTTCAGGAAAAGGGGGGGGGGGGGGCAACTCGTTAGCTTCTAACTCAGGGAAAGTATTATAATTTTTTTGGTTTGTTTTACAATTGCATTGATGTTTTAACTACATTTTAGTCTTCTAGTTTTGCTAACTACTACTGGGCCTATAATAGGCAGCTTTTCTCTGTGATGAACATGTTTTGCAGGAAGTCTGAATGATGAAAGTGTTTTTTTGGCTGTGGTTTTCAGTTTTAGTCGAGGCAGAGGCGTCGCAGGATGGTTCTGACTGTTCTTTATTTCACATTACATCTAATTTTGTAAAAGCAGTTGTTTTGTGAGGCAGAGGATCCAATTTTACAAAAAAAAGCATGCTTCTGAATGGACTGAGGTGTGTGTTTCAAGAGTGTGCATGTAATGAACAAAGTGGCTGTTAGTGTGTCTTTTGTGCAAAGGAACTAATGGTGCATGCAGAGGATGTGGCGAACTGTCCTGACTGCTGAGCAGCAGAGTGTGGAGTCTGTTCAGTGTGAACAGCAGTAACATGATCTCCAGATGATGATGATGCAGCGGGAGATAAGTGGAGCCAGTACCACAGAGTCCTTGTCTTGTTACAAACTATTCTTCACAGTGGCCACAATCCAGTCCACTGTAGCAGTGCTGCAGCAAAGTGGTAAATGAATAACCTGTAATATTAGAAATTGACTTTTTGTACTGTAGTAGATAAGATTATGTAACACTTAACATTATGTTACAGCATGAACAGGAGTGTGCACCCTTCAAATGTGTTCTCACTGAAAAGGGAGTAACCCATGCAAATTACAGGTATGTCTCAGCCTGTAATTATTTGATGACACACGCGTGATTAGCGATATATATAACAATACAGAAACTCATCAATCAACACCCTTTTTGTCATCAATTGTTGTTTGATATTTTCCCATCTCCCTAGTGACTGCGGCTATATCTGATCAACTGGGTGTGCTTTGTCAAATGCCTAGAATGTTATTTCACTCTGCTCAGTCCAGGGAGAGGCTTGCTATTGCATTCTTCTCCTTTTTATTCAGTGGGTGTGTGTGTCCAGGTAGGTGCTGATCTGTCAGTGTAGTGCATGACACACAGGGTAGAGTCAGCAGTACTCGGCATCACTGACGAGCGCTGTGGAAAGTTCACACTGATGTATGGCCACCAGCGAGAGTCTCGACAAGTGTGATTCATACCAGGAATATTCCCCCGCAGCCACAGTGGTTCATCTGAGAGAGCGTTCCTTCGCATCAAAGCTCATCCAGAGCTTTTAGCTGAATGTATTGCATCTGCTATGTTCATCAGTCAGTGTAAGCTTGCGGCAGAGTCAGTACAAGTTTAGTACAATTCGGTGGATTTTGGCCCCGAATTCCTGTAGAAGAAAAACAGTCTCAGTCAGGGAATAGGAGAAGAGTTGATGTAGGTGGCCAGGTTTTTGCTGTCTGACATTTTATTATACAGATGTTTAGTTAAATATATACTCATAATGTAATGCCATTCAATTTTCATGAATGTTTGATTTCCACTACACTAGATATTCTAACGACTTGTTTTTCCCAAATGTTTCATTCCTTGGAAAAAAATGAGGTGTTAATTCTTAGGATTAGCTTTGTTAAGCATAATGACGGTAATGGTTTCCTGCAATGCACACATACTTTTAGCCATTTCATGCCACATGTTTAGCAGGCCATGTATTCTTTCCATCTAATGCATGTTATCAATATTAAATACTAACATAACTGTCCACTTCACTACTGGTTGCCATAGCTGTGTTTTGGTGATCAAAAGTAATGACTCATCACGTGTGAGTCATCATAATCTTTGCCACACTTCAGTAAATTACACACACAGTTTCAGACTTGTGTTAGCAGGTTTCACTCCTCCAGCCCAAACTACCTTTAACTTCATGTTATGGTAAACATGCTAAATTGAAGATTGCACTTCAGTTGGGTGTTATTGTGTGTCTACAAGCCTCAGCCTAAATGACACTTAGGCTCACTGCCCCTGACCGCCAGGGAGTTGTACTTAGGTTTGTAGTGCATGTCTTTTCTAGTTTTCAGTCAGACACAAATAGAAATACCTCGAACACTGTTTGCTGTTACACCCAGATCAAATACAGCAAAGACAAATGTATATTTATGTTACCGAAAGCATTTTTTAAAGTTCTGCTATACATTAAGTATCCTAAACTGAGAATAACCGACAAACTGTTTCATCATGGCATTCAGTATGTCAAAGAGTAGCATGAAATGTCAATAATGTAACGGTCATATTTGTTTTAGCTTAACCAAAATTGAGAGAGCGTCAGTAAACTAAATCTTTTGGTTTTCACCATGAGCACAAAATGTGTTATTGAAAACTTTTTGCAAATGAAACCCTTGAGGCTCTCTGCATGTTTGAGCAATGAGTCTTGAATCCAATGTTCGGAAAAGCTTGTTCTTCCCCTTACATCTCCACATTTTCTTTTGCCTGTAGCAACACTCCCTCATAGATGTGACAAGTTCCAAAAGGCCTTTCACATACAGTACATGACAGGCTCCCTATAGAGACTGAAATACAGTCTGAGTGCAGTGATGCCTGAACTCCTTATGATCTGGTTTAGCTTTTGGACATGTCATCAATCCTGCCACCCCAAAGTGTACTTCATATGCAGGATGGCAGCACTGAGATTTGGGTCTTTGAATGACATGAATGCAGATACTTTTGTAATTCTCAAGCTGCTAATAGCTGAAATTTATAATGGCTAGGGTATCCCCTAAATTTTATTTTTGACAATCAGTTTAGTCCATGTGCTAGTAAAGGTTTTCATTGTAAAATAGTGATAAAATACTTTTTAGGTTTTAGATTTGGTGATCCTCTGTTCCTGTGAGTGGTGGAGGAAACTTGATATCCTCTGCTCACCTGGCATAAACCCCTTGTTAAATGTTGTAAGGACAACCGCATGTAAATAAAAATTCAGAGGTATTTATATTGCCTCACTAATAACTCAGTCAGGCGAGTCAAGTCAACTATTATTGTCATTTATTCATGAGCTGAATATTTTCTTGATTAATAGTAATGTAGAAATGGGAGGAAATTGTGGAAAAACGCTCATCACAATGTCTTGAAGCCCAAGTTGACATTTACTTGTTTTGTAGGACCAATCTCTGCGTAAATGTTTTTTTCAGCGTCATCAAAACGCTAGTGGTGAATAATATCAAAGTGAAAGGATGGTGAGAGCCTGCGGCAGGGCTGACAAACAGCGGAAATTAAAAACAACACATAGTGGTGGTGAGGATAAGTGGCACTCTTCAAAAATTACTATAGAGATAAATAGTTGATGATTAATAATAATTAAAACTCTCAACTGAATGAACCACTGGATAAGCCTGTCTAGGAAATGTGGATGCTTCTTCTTGTAGCCTGTCAAACTTGACAGACGGCTGTTTGTTGGTATGTACAGTAGGAATGAAAAAACCTGTTCATTGTGTTAGTCAGAAGTGAGTATTTCACGACACCTACTCTACCAGATTCCATTCTCGTACTGGTCCCTGCTGTGTCGCTGATGCTGAACTGCGAGCCATTGAAATGACTTCATGACTAGAATTCTTATCATTGTGTTGGGTGTGTTGAATTGAAATGCCAAATTGGCTCGGAGGCAAAAGCAGCGAGATGTCACCAGAACAGAATTCACCTTTTATTTGTATTGGCAGATACCCAACAGTACTTTTGTGTGATAGTGAGGCTTCATCAAACTGTGTTCAGCACTTTGTTTTATGTGAGCTGCAGTACAGTCTTAAAACCTCATCAGTGGCCAATTAAGCCCATGAGTGTGCCACTTATCCTCGCCACCACTACGTGTTGTTTTTATTTTCCGCTGTTTGTCAGCCCTGCTGCATACTTTCACCATCCTTTCACTTTGACATTATCCACCACTAGCATTTTTATGACCCTAAACATGAATATTTACGCAGAGAATTAGCAGGGTGCCCTGTTGATAATGGCTGCTCTATAGGAGAGGCTCATGGAACTAATTGACACCCCCAGTGGCTGGGAAACTTTGGGGCGGCTGCTCCCTGTCATTATCACAACTGTACTTATTTCTGGAGGCCACCGCAATTAAGAGACCCTAATGATGGTGAGCCTAGTAACCCTGCTAAATGGCCAGACTGTTAATAACTAACTGGGTCTGCACTGTGACCCAAACACTGGTGGAATGTGCGGCTGATGAAATGTGTTTGGAGGGATTTAGGCAAGTAGCGTGCCTGATGTCCTAGATCCACTTTTATCCAGAAGTTTTCCATGCTTGCTCCTCAATAACTTTAGAAACTTTGATAACTGTATTATGTAGTCAAGGCTATTGACAGGCTTTTACTACTTTATGGATGCAGTGCTTTGGATCAACCTTAACTTTCAAGTCAAATAGTAAATAAATTTACTTTTACATTTACTGATTTGGCAGACTCTTATCCAAAGCGACTTACATTTGAGGAACAACATACAAGCATAAACAAGGCATCAAATACAGCATGAGATTTACAACTGACAATACTAGTAAGAGCAGCAATAAATACTAGTAAGGGCTAATGGCACATATCACAACAATGGGGGTAAATGGGGAAAGAATTAAGAGTTACTTCTTAGGGAAAGAAGTAAGAGTTAACAAAAAAGTGCAATCAATACAAGTGAATTTCAAGGGGATAGAAGAAGGACACAGGAAGTGTATGTTAGAGGTTAGGAGTTAGGAGAGAAAGTGTTCTCGGAAGAGAAGTTTTCAAGAGTTTCTTGAAGTTGGAGACAGACGCCCTTCCTACTCTGATGGCATGTCCTAGCTCGTTCCACCATTGTGGTGTCACAGATTAGAACAGCTGGGACTGTGATGGCTTTGTGTGTAGGGATGGCAGAGCCAGGCGGCGTTCGTTGGAGCTCAGTGGCTGAGAAGGAACATAAGCTTCTATTATGGAGTTTAGGTACATGGGTGCAGACCCATTAGTCTGTATGCAAGCATTAGTGACTTGAATTTGATTTGGGAGGCCAATGGTAGGGTAATTTAAGACCAATAGGTCCAAATTAAAGTGCAGTTTGCAATGATGTTCTGGAAAACAAGTCTAGCATAGCGCTGTCTCTGTAGAAAATAACAGTCAATTTTAAAGAGTAAATTCTGCATTTACTTTCAGAGGTTGACAGAAGACCAATCTTTATTTGTGTTGTGAGTTAAGCAACAGACCCAGGTATGGGTGTAGACATTTTTCGAGTGAGGCCGTCTACACTTAAGGTAGCTTATGCCATTGACGTGTGCACCTGTATATTACTTGTTACGCTGTTTTCAGCTGAAATAACTGCACATTTTCTCAGTGAAATGAATTTCAGTCACATACACAGCAGCCCTGTGTGTTTGCATTGTGCAGGTGGTGATGTGTTTATGAACCTGTAAGTGCTCATCTCATCATCAATGTATGCCACAGAACTTTGTTTCCACATGCAGACAAGCTTTATCCACAACTACGAGCAGTGTCTGAGTAAACTGGCATCACACATTCTCTGCAAGTGGAGAATAACATCAGCATAACTATTTAAATGCTTTAAAGCATATTATGCTCTGGTTTATTGAGAATGTAGGCATTCAGTTATTGTCAATATCAGTCAACGATCATGTTTTGTAACCCATCTGATTACCCTTTAGCACCTTGCTGATGGGGACATTATAATCCTTATGTCACTGCAAGTTCACCAGATATCCTCGCTTTTAGCACGCAGTATTTACTTGTGATCTTCATAAGCTACAGACGGTAGCGTACAACACCGTCATCACCAATTATAATTTTGCAACATGTAATATTTCGAATATCAGTCCTCACTAGTCATTAAAGATCTACACCCGGGAGTTATGTTACTTGATTATCCGGTCATGTATCTGTGTATGTTTGTGATGGATGGAAATAATTAACAACTGCTTAACAGAATCCTGGAGCCTTAACATATGACATGATAGTCAATGCTGCCTGTCAACTCCAGAATATTGTTCAAAGGAAGTGAAATGTCCCATGTGGAAAAGAGAGGCACAGCAAAAAAGCTTGTGGATGTTTTTTTGTTTCTTCTTAATATTACATTAATGACCTGCAGAAAAATTGGTCCAGAAGAGAGAAAAGAACAATCAGAACTCCACACATGGCTTCACTATACATTGGCATCTACAGTGATTTTTTTTCTTTTAAAACACAAGATTTAGGCTACAGTTTTAGATTCACAACAGACTTTGTGGAAAGCAAAAGCTGTACATTTTTCTGTAAACCCTGACCATACAAATTTTAAATGTCCACTAAGGAACTATAGATTTACAACTGAATTGTTAAACATGTTTATACGGCACTTTCTTATAAACTCTTAAAGGTCTACCATGCTACATGTCACGTCCTATTACACCACTTTAAATATACATTAAACACTGGTCACAGTGAAACACAGAAACGTTCAGCCCTCCCTTGTAGACTGCGCTTGCGCAACTTTTTGTTTGCGTTTATTGTCATTGTCTCAAAGAGCATTTGGATTTAATGAAACTATTAGGCTTTGGCACTTTCTTTAGCAATGTTAGTCGTGTTTCCTTTGATTTCAGATTCTTCCCATTCCGATTTGATGTGGTTACACAATCCATGTCAAGGGGACTTAGGTCAGTGGAAGTGAAGTGTTCCTGGAGATGAAAGGCGGCTTATGCAAATGTCTTCACCTGTTGATCTAATAAGTCTGGCCAGCAGAAACACGTGTCTCTGATGAAAACATTCAGCCATGCACATGTTTATGTCCCACATGTTGTTCACACTCAGTCTCATGTTCACTGGGTCTGTTTTTCCTTTTTCTTTTTTTTGTCTTTCAGGGTTTTGAAGAGTGTGTGCTGACCTGATCACTAAATGGCGCTGACAGTGAACCTTATCGGCCCTTCACCATGGGGCTTCAGGATATTTGGAGGAAGGGACTTCAAGAAGGCCATAACTGTATCAAAGGTACTCGCCGACAGCCACCATATTTTTGAACCTGGTCACACTTTATCAAACCATATCCTCTGTTATTGTGAAAGCACAGCCTATAATGGCATGTCATGCAAAGTCAACTTCCTCCTCACTACGTCTCTTTTCTTGTCTTTGTTTGCGTCCATGGGCTGCTTCATACCCATTTCCTTGACTACTGAACCTGTCAGAATGGAAGTAGATTACATTAGAGGGAAATCACTGATTACAGTACAGTGGAAGCTGAGGTGGGAGATGAGGGGTTCCTGACCCCAGAGTGCAGTATGTGTGAGAGTGGGTTTGTGTTTCTGTTCTAATGTGCATGCATTAACATGTGCATTAGTAAAGTTGTACTTTAGCATGTGCATGTTGTTTTTACTGAACATATTTTCCAAGTCACTGTAAAAAATAAATTAGATGGAACAAGATGGAATTAGATGGAGCGGAAACATTACCACTGTAAGCAGACAGGACACAGTAAACACCACCAGGAAACTCAGACTCATACTAACCTCTGCATGCCAGAGACACCCAGTTCTGCCCACTGCACAACCTGGACCTTAGCCTGGATTTTTCCAGTGAGATTTCCCCAGCAGCTCTGCAGACCCTTAAAGGATAAATTATGGCGAGGAACCAGTGATTCACACAGACTTTGACTTCAAAAGCATTTATTGTTTGCCGCCTCTTGACAACTTATGCTAAAAAAACATGTCTTCCCATGAATAATGGGCTTTAAGTCTGTGATTTTGTTACTGCTGTTCAATAAACACTAGCATGTTTGCTGGTCTCAAATATCAAACTAGTTCTCTGAAGTGACATTCCTGCTGAGGGAGAAACTTTATCACTGAAATTAGTTTGCAAAGCCCAGTTTGAGAAACGGCTTGTCTCCTCCCCAGCAGTTAAGCAGCCATAGGGTTGGGCCATCTGAAGTGGTTGGCGCTGGGCAAAAAGACGTCATGGATGCCCTCTTTTATTCCTCTTGGCCTGAAAGATAGCTTGCCCCCAATTCACTTGGGCACAGGCCTTGGAAAAGAACCCCCAACTGCTCTTAGTTTATGTGAAACCAGGCGTGTCCTGATCAGAAAAGGCACGCACTATTGTGGGTCACCACAGCAACGCTTAATTGTCTCTCGAGTGGGCCCACAGACATGGCACTTCTGCCCTTTTGCATGGCTAAACTGACAGACAGCCTGTTGACTGGCATTCTCTTTACATCCATTTTTCCTCTAGAGATGTAAGAATGCGACTTGGATTGGCATTTTTGCATTCTTTTATTGCCTCTCTGTTTTTAATTGTAAGGCGAGCGCTGTTTGTGGCAAATGTCGTACTTCTCTCAAGTTTATGCAGTTGCAGCGTCGACCTCTACATCTTGCCTTTTGTTTTAGTAAGCCTGTGTGTTTGGGTCTGAATGCCTGGGACAAAGGAACCAAGCTGAAAGTGTTTGCTAGGACGTTTTGGCCCATTAGTGTGGAATTCCCTCTGATGTGGTGGTATAGCATTGGCTTTGACATGTGGTCAGGCTGGTTGCAAAGGTCAGTTCCAGTCAAACCATCAAGTAGTGTCACACTAATGACTTTTCCCCGAGGGTGTCATGAATCTGTCTGCTGTGGACCCGCGTTGCCTCACTCCATGTGTGTGAAACGCTGTGGCATCTGTAGTGTTATGAATTGTTGAGAGAGACAGTTGGATAAAGGAAAAAAAAGTGTGAAGCTCATCAACATCTTATCACATTTACTCATTTGTCGATGCAGAATGTCAGCCACTGACAAATTGTCCACACAGCCATAAGATGGAGAGCTGTCTATGCTTTCCTGATAGTGTTATGTTCCGAGCAGGACCTGGGGCCAGGAAGACCTGACTGGATCTCATTCCTCTGTTCAACAGGTTAATGGTGGCAGCAAGGCAGAGAAGGCAAACCTGCAACCTGGTGACATTATCTTGGAGATCAACGGGGAAAACACGGCCGACATGCTGAACGTGGAGGCCCAGAACAAGATCAAGAATTCAAAGACCCAGCTGCAGCTTGTGGTGGAGAGGTAAACTTTTAAAATAAAAATATTAATATACTTTAAAAATATTACTGCTACCATGACTTGTAGTTTTATTTTGTGTATATGTTGGATATATAAACATAAAAAAAATTACATTACAGAACCATGCAACCCTCTGCAGCTTCCCCATCTGAATATCTTCCCTAATTTTTGTTGTTTGTGCCAAGACCACAGCTGCCCCAGCTTCAATCTTTCTTTACACTGTTTTAAACTTTATCATGCAAGCACTGTACAAACAAAACAAGTGATTGTAATCAGGGGAAATGCCAGCATGAATGAGAGCCACACAGTTCCCTTCCCTGGTCCATCTTAATAAACCCTGTTTTGAAATTTGCCAAGACCTTCTTTGGATGACAGGGAGTTGGCTACTAAAACGGTTTTCCTTTGAGTCAGGATTGCTCTTGGCGGGCATTTTGATCAAAAGTTCACCCTAAAATTCTAATTTCTTGTCCGTGTTGCCCCCGTCACACTCTTACTTAGACATTCTCTCTTACTGTGTGTGCACACACATACACACACTCACGCACATGCGCTTTCACATACTTCCTCCTTGGATGTCCTGCGTCCATGTGAGTGAATTTTTCCCTGCTGACCTCATGTCTCCTACCAAGCCAGAAACAACACCATTACTCCTTGCTTGCCTAGGACAATGCCACTGTGTAGTTCTGCCATGTCTTTAATCCCACTCAGTGGATTTCAGCACCAAAACAACTTTGTACCTCACAGGCTCCTGTCTTAATGCCACCCATCAAGCGTATTACCTGTTTGAATTACAGTCAGACAAGCTCTCAAAAGCTTTATTAATTGGGTGGCACAAATCTGTAATGTTTGATTTGTTCTTTGCTTAGTTGAGAATGCTCCCTTTTTCTAGCCCCAACATCTGGTTGGCAGCTTATTCTTTTCAAACCAACAGTGATATGGATACTAGCTGTCATCACACAGATGGTGTTGCCCACTGGAAGAAGCTAGCACCAGCCCATCCTCAGAATAGAAAATGTTGTTTTTAGGCGTGTATGCAGAGGCAGAGGTTTATTGGTGCATCCAACGACATGTTCATCCTAGACTTGACTATCTGGGACTATTTTTACATGACAAAGCAACCACACCATCACTGTCTTGTCATTGACCCTGGGCTTTGTTTGCAGCTCCTTGTTTGGTATTTATTGTGCTTTGATGCCTTGCGGATAGGGGTGTGACGAGAAACTGAACCGACGAGATTCAAGATTGGGTTCTCAATGGAGACGGAACAAGATTTTAACACTATTTTTAAAAAATCTTTAATGCTGAATTATGAAAATTTTGAGCATTAAACATTTTATTTCCTGAATTTTGATGAATTATTCTGCACCGGTTTATGGTGATTTTTATTAATTTATATAAAGAAAAACACAAAATTCACGTGACAGGTGAAAATTTAAACTCTATAGCCAAACTATAACAGAATATAATGCAGTGCACCTCTCAGTCATTCTGTGCTGCTTTCAGACCCGTTTCTCCTGTAGATCAACTTTTCTCATATCATTGCTGCTGAGTCATGATTTAGTCACCTCAATGATAAATTATTAAATTTTAACTTAGTTATAAACTCCTGGACTTTATTAGCTCCTGTGTTTCAGGAAATTTTCTGCACATGTTCAAAACTCGCTGGTAGTAACGTCCTCCCCTTCAGACCGTTTGGGACTTCATACTGCATTTGAAACTGAAAGTAAATGAAACACTTTTGATAAGGCAGCAATCTCACCCCAGATCTGCACACACGGTAACTTCTGCAGCTCCAATAAAGTGCAGCTCACAGTTCCAAATAGCAAGACCGCTACATTACCGCGGGTTACGCTGGTGTCAATCAGCTGGGCGGAGTTATCAGTTATATAGTTGTATTTCACTGCATGAGAAAATTAATGTATAGCTTGACAGCGTGTGAAAAATGTCACTTGCGTAAGTCTTGTGAAACAGCTTTTTACCTGACGTGAAATATCGTCACAATTTAATCTCACGAGATCTCTTGCAGCAAGATCTCGTGACACCCCTTCTTGCGGATGATGTCACGTCAACCAAAAACCTGTGTCTCTCTCTCGAAGAAAGAGGTGTGTGTGTGTGTGGGGGGGTAAAATTCCACAAAAACACACAAACCTCCAACCCAAAAAGACCAAATACCTGAAAATTTGTCAGATTCATAGTTTTGTTAACTTATTCTTTGATCAGAAATTTCCTGATTTTTAAAAAATGTTGTCAATTTTATTTAGGCAGAGGTCTTGTGTGTCTACTTGTATTTGAACAGCAGTAAATATTTGAGAACTTTGACTTATTTTGTCAACTGTTCACTTTGGCAACATTACAGAAACCCAGCACTAGTATAAAAACATTTCCAACATTAGCCGATATCCCATAAAGCAGCGGCTTGCATGGTCCTAAATGCTGGTCACAGCTCATTACAAAGTATGTGCCTTTTGCTTCTTATGGATTTGAATCCTTTTGAACTGTGGTCAGTATTAAATCTTTTTTTAATATTTCCGTTCTCAGAAGACTACACACTGATTTGCTCACCGACCTATAAAATACGTCTCATTGTCTAAAGACCACAACATCACATTCTCTGGTGTTTTGAGGTACATGGAAGTTTAAAGCACGAGGTGAACATTTTTTCAGCTCTGCAGTTCCTAATTCAACGCAATGAGTTTTTCAGGCCTGCCTCATTAATATCTCCCCTACAGGAAGAAATGTCTCAAGGCTGCTGTATCAGTTTTCATCTTCTTGCCATCCCTCTCTTGTACACAGTATGCGGAGCCTAGGCCACGAGAGGTGTGTTTCTGGATGATTTACCACAGGCATCCAGGCCTTCCTGTGTGCCTCATTACCCCGGGCCCACCAAAAGCCAGTCAGCCTCTGGCCCTGCAGCCAGGGGGGCACTGTGTGTTTGCATTGGCACATATACTGCCCAAATTTTTTTCCCTCCAAAACCAGTGATGGAATTGCTTACCAAATGTGTTTTATATTTAAGAAAGTAAAACCAAAGTGACTAGTTGGAAAGACGAGATACATCGGGAGAATATTTTCAAAAGGGCTAAAGCGTCAGCATTAATCTCGGATTCATGGGAACATACCAATGGATGCTTGCCAGGACGTTAGCAAAAGGGATGTCAAAAAATTGTTTTTGTTTTTACTAGACTGCACTTTTAAAATAAATTCACTTACACCAATGACCCTTAGACAATCAGCACAACTCAGCATTTTCCTTGCAATTTCTTGAACACATTACATACTTTTGAGCACATTAGCTTGTCCTTTATGACATTTTGACCAGATTTAAATGTTTGTTTATTTAACATCAACTTCCTTACTGCCTCAGTTTTTTGTTGTTTTTTTAAATTCTCACTGACTTTATCCCTAAATGCTAAATAGATTGAGAATGAAACCTTTGTTAGGCAGATATCATCAATGTTGTCAGACAATTGATTTATGTGGTTTTCTGTCTTTAAAGACCTGATCCTCCCAGCCCTGGACAGACCAATGGCATCAGTAACCCTGAGCAGCTCACCGGACGCTTCCAGGTCGGTGCTGCAGCTCCACAGGAGCTTTAATCTGTCTACACTTTGTCTTAATTACTGGACACCAAACTGATGTCCAGAACTGTGTGTTCTGTCTCTTTGATCCACATCATTGCTTACAAGTGCCTGTGTTATTTGAATAATGTGTTGTTATGACTACAGAGGGTATGCTCCTTCATTTTTGCAAATTGCATGCATCACACATCTGTTTATTACATATCTGGTTATTTCACAGTCCTCAAGATGGAAGCAATACAAGACATTGCAGTGATTTAGTACTTCTTCCTGTGTTGTATTGAGATCATAATGAGTCCCAAAGCACTGCGTACAGTACTCAATACAATATGTAGACATGTTTGAGGAATGCATTTACTTCTCTGTACTTGTGTGTGCTGCTGACATTCTCACAGGTGTCTATTATGCTCAATTAAGCCTTTCGCTACTTGTATAGCAAAAATGCAGTTGTGAAGATCAAGTTACGTTCAACAGATACCAATGGAGTAACACTCCTATGTTCTGTAGGAGGCAGTAATAGTGAGTCGAGATGAGAATCAGAACTACAGAGAGTATACCATTGCCAGCCCTGCATCGCTGTCTCCTGGACCTTATTCACCAGATTATTCTGCCATCCCAGACGGGAAGAGGGAGATGCTGACACCGACCACCAACAAGAGGTAGCTCACTTGACATGCTGTATTGGAAATCAGCATTGCAATGTTCAAGCAGGCAGATAAAATATCTAGAAATCTGAACACGGTCACTAATGTCAAGAAGAATCCACACTGTACCGCAAAGTTTGGAATTTACATGAACAAATTGCTTAAAAAAAGCTCCAGTGGAATGTCAATATTGGCTTGCTTGTAACATTTGCAGTTGTTGGATAGATGCCTCAGCCTTTCACTACGGACAGGAAAAAGAGTCTCCGGACATTTTAGAGCTTGAAATTTCAGATGGACAGTTGAATCCTTTTCAAAAACCCGTCCATTCACTGCTCAAATAGGCTTATATATGGACAAAAGGTTGCAACAAGTGGTCTCTTGACTCCACAACAGGCCCAGAGTCAATAGGTATGGGAGTAACAGACAGAAAGTGGGGCAATGGGATTGTACTGTAGTAACAAAGGATATGCACAGGATATCACATTCCACCGTTTGCATTCATTTGAACAAAAGGCAGAATGTGGAACGTTCACCACGTTCTCTCTGAGCATGGCATGACAGTATATCTTGTTAGTCACATTGCGCAGTAAATCAGTCTGTGACTTTTCAGTATAAAAATAATTTAAACTACTGTGGTTCCTCAAAATTAAGTTTACTGTTGCATCGAATTAGAATCTGTGCATCCCCATGAGGAACCTGTAGAACTATGTGTAAATGAAAACTTATGAATAGAGCGATAGAAATGAAATCTTGTATTTGTGTGTGTGTGTGTGTGTGTGTGTGTGTGTGTATATATAATTTTATATTACTATCGATATATATTGTTAATATACTTCATTTGCTAAAACTAGACAATATCTATTTTTGGCTAATCTAGCAAACGCTAATGATATACAAATCCAATATTGCAAGTAAAGCTTTGCACCATTCAGTGCTCTGGTCAGTCCTGTTTATTGATTTGTGGAGTGGTCCACACACACACACTTTCAATGTATCCAGATATATTAATTTGAAGGAAGCTCAGAGGGTTGACATTTGTCAGTCTCACGGTATGTATCATCCTATTGCCCACCCCAAAATCATGTATTGTTGAAGCTCTGTTGTCTTTATGTTCCAGTGTCCAGCTGCGCTCATGGTCTCCAGAAGAGAAGAGTCACAGGCTGTCCAGACCTCTATCACAGGTTAGTTTCCATTGTTTCTTCACCAAGTTCTCTATGTATTCCTTTGTAAGTTTTAAAGCAAATGTTTTCAGCCTATTGAGATATGCAGTCAAGAGTTGTCCCATTTGTTAAGTCACCCAGCCACCCTGCAAAAGAAAAACAGCTGAATTCCAACTATAAAATGTTTTTAATTAGATGAGGACAATTGGTTCTTAATGAGCGTGAAATTACTCTCTACGCCAAACAGAAACAAGAGAGGAATTTGTTGTGTTCCTGTCTTTGTACTGTCACTGCTGTAAAAAAAGGTTTGCTATTCTTTAGATGGTGCGATAATGATGGGGTGATTTCCTGGGTATCATGGCGCGCATTTAGGTTTAGGATCTAGGAGCTGGAGTACAATATACTGAAGAAATACATGTAAATGTTATGTCCCCACAAAGTCAACCTGTCAGTCATCTGTAGCTGCGGTTTTAGGCTGCAGCTGAAGGGTTTTTTAGTCTGTGCTGAGCTCTGTGAGATGTATTTATTTTGACTGCACTCTCCCAGTCTGTAAGAATAATGTATTTCAGTTCTTAGCCTTTCCTCTTGAATTGTTACTTTCTGATGCCACAGAAGATGCCCTACAAAAGGTTTGTGGACTCCAGTGTACTGTATGTAGACTTCACAGCAAAGGCAGGATACAGAAAGGTTTTGACATTTTTATAGCAGGGAGTGTATAAACTTCAAAGGTCAGTCTTTGAAAATATCTGACATTAAGTTGAACAACAGTCTGGAGCTGTTTCATTCAGCGCCTTACTTTCCGTCAAAACAATGGCCTTAACCTTTTTAGTTGTCTGAATGGAGACTCATTAGTCTCTGTAAGCGGTAAAATATGGACTTGGGGTTATCATGAGACTACAACCAAACTATGCTGTGCTTATTTACCATTCCAGCAAAAAAAACGAGAAGGGGGACTCGGGCGTCTGGAAAGACTTCAGTGAGTTAAAGAGAGAAAATGTTGTGGGAAAGTTCATCATGAGCTATTTCAGCTATGCCTAGATGGTTAGTCTCAAGCATGGGTCCCACTGAAGATAGAACATGTGAGATGACAGAGCAGGAAAAAACATACAAGACCTTTTTGTACAAGGAATCCCAGCCATTTTTATAACTCTGGACATTACATCAAGTTAGATAAATATGCAGAGGTTTGAACTTCAAAACATTCAAGAGAGGCAGCTGGCTGAGAAGGTCCATTTTTAAAGTTTCTCTTCGAGTTTGGGATTCTTTGTGTTGTTTACATGTTAAATAAGATTCAGATGCACTGTCACTCACAATGGTGTCCAGTCTTTGTGACTGGATGCTTACGTCAGAGTAGTTTTGATCTCTTTCACGCTGGGAGAAAGATGAACTGGTCTAGCCATGGTGGAACTGGGGTAAAAGTTGGTCTGTTGAGGTTGCTGTCATTACTTTTTGAGAACATTTTTGACCAGTCTTTGTAAAAATAAAATGCTTTGGTCAATCTGTTCCCAACAAAATAGTCTTTAGGGCCAGAGTAGCACCTAATAACTAATTTTATGTGACTGCCAAGCCACATGGTGTGTTGTCTCCTTCCAAGTTGTTTTCGGGCGGGGAGGGTATGCAGGATGTGTGTACAGACATGAATCAGCTCTCTGACTGGCTCGCTGATTAAACTGACATGAGTGTGATATGTGATGTTCATTTGGACTACGACGCCTCTGGCAGACAGTAGGCTGGAAAGGACTGGAGATGATAAAGTCGCTTAGTGTCGAGTCCTTTACACACACAGTGAATTAGCTTTTCTGTGCTATGGATCCCCCTTGACTAAAAAGTAATTTAAATTAAACCATTTCAAATTCTAATTGTGTGTTGGCTCTTTTTAAAGGGCAACTCCACAGATTTGCTAAGAAGAGCACAACCCAGCCTGTGAAAACAGTTGTATTATGTCTTCTGCGGCTCTGTAGGGGGCTTTTTAAAGTCTTATGATGATGTCATCAGGGTTATTTTGAATTGGGCTTGAGCCTTTAAATGTAATAGGAAGCCTGTGTTACAAACTTGGGGGTTGAGTTTGACTATACATTTACCAGGCAGAGAGGGTTAAAATGAAAGGGTTAAGCATCATGCATTATGGGAAATGTTGGATTCAATGTTTTGGAGCGTGACCCATACAAGGGACCAAAAGTCAGGATATCTTGGCCTCTGCTGCTTCAATTTTGCTATTTAAATATTGTTTTTAATCTGTCTCTTGTGAATCCCCCAACCTAATGAAAGGGCAGTGCTCCTAAAATGTAGCTATAAATTGTTTTGGAAGAGTTTTTAAATCTGGTCCTTTAGCTAAACGGTCTAGTGGTCTGATTAGGTCAAGGACTCACACTCAATTCAGCTTACTGATATTGCATGTTAGGTTTATCATTGTATTATTTCTCAGTCAAGGCATTGTAGATATGTTATACAGATGCTGATGTTTTCACCGTCGATCCAAAACCACATTCAAAAACCCACTGTGGAGTTACAGTGAGGCTGTGGGCAGCAAACCATGGTGGAGCACACTTCCGTATTGGCCTACCAAGAAACACATTAGGAGCTATGTTGTGGCTCGGAGCTCCATCAGTGAGCCCTTAGGAATGAATGTGCTCCTGTCAAAGCTGTCCGTCCGGGACAGCCTCGCATTTTTGTGGTGTTTATGGAGTCGCCTTTTCTCCCATTCTCCTTACCATTTTTACCATATTTTATTCTCATTTTTCTTATATTGGAATCCGTTCTTGTCCTGTAGCCTTTGGGAGACCTAACATTCCTTCTATCTTCCTCTGCTCCAATGTCAGCTTGGCTTTTTATGGCTTTTTAAGTCTTTATTCAGTATCTTTGAATTAATGTTTTGAGAAGACTGCAATTTGAGATGTTTAATCACAGCTCTGTTTAATTATAATTTTTTTTTTTTTTTTACTTTTTCTGATCTTCAAACTGATTTGGATTGGTTGCTCTGCCGTCTATGCCTGACAGCCTCAGTGTTTACCATCATCCAGCCTAGTGGATGAGAGTTGTGGGTTTTGGCTGACCCCTTCCTCCAAGCGATGTCTACCCTGGTTTTAAAGTGGTGACGAGCCTCCCGCAGCACTGCTGTGATTAGTGAGTGGAGTTCTTTCAGAGCTCTTGGTGGGGGGAAAAGGCTGGGAAGAAGCCTGCCATGAGCATACTGTGCATTATGCTGCTCGGGCTGGCAGGAACACAGCATCCCAGTGAGCGCTAAGAAGTGAAGCCTCCATCACAAGGGCTTCTGTCCTGCCTGAGAGGTGCAGAGCGCTGCTGTATCAGGTGATCAGCCTCTCTGAAAAGCTCCTAAAAGGCTTTTCCACCCCTGTTTTGGCTCCCTGAGTGAGGAGAGTGGGATGCGCAACAGGATCCCCCATTTTCCAGGGTGTTGGATATCCTGAGAAAAGGCCTGTATACAATAGTGGCTGTGATGGCAGAGGCTGTGGAAGGCTGGTGCTGCTTTTCCCCTCGCGTCACAAGGCCTGTCATTGTGTGATGGGAGCTGGAAGAGACGGGGGTCAGGATGGAGTAGAGTGGACACCAGGGAGCCTGCTGACATTCCCAAACTGTACTTAACCATCACACCACTGTGCTCAGCCCAGAGGCTACTCAAACACAACAATAGCCTTTGTACCTCGTCACAGAGTCTAAACTTCCTGCACAACGCTTTGATTTTCATGCACTTCATGTAATGCAATTGCAATTTTAGAATGGGACATGAAAATCTGCATTGACCTTTACCTTTCCCATAACTGTAAACATTTGGCTATGTCAGTGTTTAACAGGAAATCTATACAGTACATCTTCAGCACAAGCTCTAAAGGGTACTGCACTGAATAAGGAAAGTAATCGTTAATCAGAAGGTGTGGGTTCAAGTCCTTGTTACAAGAAGCATTCACCCTGATGAAGTGTCCTCAAGCAATATTCCCAACATACCGGTTTACCCTGAACATTCGCCTTGAAAGATCAGACAAATGCAAAGAAAACTGTAGAGATTTGCTATAGACATGTGTTTGCAACCCCGGTTTCCAACAAATTGATGTGCTTTGTTTTGTCATGCCATGATGTGACTGGCTGTGTTCATGGACTTGAATATCTTCTACCACACCACCATGACAAAAAGAGTAAAGGCACCCTAGATTCTTGGACTCTTGGCATGCGATTGTAACTGGCCGGCCACAATCATGATTCAGAGCGTCTGTTTATATCATCAGGAATGACCACAACAGGATCTCTGTTTCAATGAGCAGGGCCAAAGCTAAACTGCTTTGACCCGTCACTGGGCCATTACGACCAGGCTCAATGTCTGGGTTTGTAGTTGCCGCACTTTGAGGTTCCCGAGGCTGGCCTTAGTGGGCTGCCTGTTTCTGTGCTGGGATAGGGTGGTTACTTACTATAAATATCCCCCCTAGTGTATGATAGCCAGCTCCTGTAGGGTGACACTCAGCCCTGGCCCTGTGCAGACCAAACCTTTCCTCTTTATCCTAAATTGGGTGGATTGCACTTTGCTGTATGACATGTGTCACTAAGCTCTTTATCCAAAGAGGGCAGGGTAAGTATCCATCCATACATCCCCTATCCCTTACATTTCTCTATCCACCAGTCTTCTCACAGAAGGCCTGCATGCCAGCAGCTGGCTTTGTCCCACTCTATTCTGGAGGTTGTGGTTGACTAGAGTGCAAAGCTGTGGTCATCACTCTGGAGCAGAAATGGATACTTGGCATGCAGGAATAGGACTAAGTTTATTTTTTTTAAATTGAGTCATAATGTAAAAATGTATAGTGTATGCACTGTTGGTTGAAGATTGAAGTTTTTGGAAAGTCTTCAAGACTGGACACTAGTAGAGGTAAATGCACCTCACCTGTGGTGGCTTCTCCTCCAGCACTAAATGCAGACATGCAAATCTTTTCCTTGACGATGATGGCTTGGAATAATGTACTATTTCAGGTCTCACATGAGTGGGGCTGTTGTTTGGTTTGGCAGGCCAGAGCTCT